ATCTCCTCTTACATTCTCTTATTTTGTTTTTTTCTTGTTATAAAAAATTAATATAACATGTTGACGTGGCTTAACCGTAACCGTTCAATTAGGAGGAGAGGAAAAAAAAAAAAAGAAAAGAGAGAGAATCCCACCCCAATTGCGTACTAGGAAAACTAAAAGCCAGACTTTGGTTACAAAGAGATTTGTTTTTATGTCAAGGAGTCAAAGAGTGTGTTGTCTTAGGGTATTGGGAATCTTGACCAAATGGATGGAGGGGATGGGTGGCATGAAGATAAGATAACAACGTGAGAAGTTAAGTAGGAATTTTAAGGCTTGTTTGGTATTTTACTGAAAATATTTTTCTCTTAAAAACAATTTTTCATAAAATTCAAAAACTTGTTTGGTATGACACAAAATTGTTTTTAAGTCTTCACAAGTTTTTTTAAAAGGAAAACATATCTCTCTGCTCAGCAGCTCCTTGTTGGAGCCGAAGAAGGGAGATCGAGATCAAAAGAGATGAGATAAGAGAGAAAGATACAAGGGAGATAGATAGAAGCAATTGGAAGATATCGCAGGGTCTTTGTTGCCGAATCTCTCCGTAAGAAAGAGAGGGGAGAGAGAGAAAGAAATACGACACAGGAGGGTGGATGAAGAAAAAATTATCTGGAAAGAAAGGGGATAAGAGTGGGGCCTTTAGTTTTAAAAATTTTAAAAACAGGCTTTTTACGTTTTCATGAAATAAGCTATATTTTCAAGTTAGTTTTACATTATTCTTTGTTTGTAAATGAGAGGTTTTAGATTTGATTTTCTTCAAAATTAAATTTGAATCACATTATTGTTAACTTATTATGAGATTTAACGTACCCCTCTTTATCTTGAAGATGAATGAATATAATTGATTGATTTCCGAATTCCAACCAAGAGGATCCATCCTTATCCTGAAGATAGGACCGAAGTGGGAATGGGATTGCATTAGAAAATTTGTTATAGGAATCTTATAAGCCTTCCGACTATTCTTATTTTATTAAGCACCAGATAACCACACATCTCAAAGTCCTAGCTGCGAAGATCACTATGTCCAAAATAAAAATAAAATAAAAAAAAAACAAAAGAAAAAGATGATATCAAGGCACGTGTTCCATAAATTAAGATCGCTATGTCGAAAATATTAAAATGATGCAAAAGCACATGTTCCATAAATTAAGATCGCTATGTCGAAAATATTAAAATGATGCAAAAGCACATGTTCTATAAATTATAAGAAAAATTAATGAAAAGTGTTTGAAAATTTTAAGTTTTAAGGATAAAAATAAAATAAATGGTAAAATGAATATTAATTTTTTAGTGTAAAAATATGATTTTTTGTTAAAATAAACAGTATCTGAAGCTTTTCGTTAAAATTCCCTAAATTATAATTTGTTGCAATTAGATATTCCCTCTAACTCTGCCTAAATATTCTAAATTTCACTCATAAGACTTTAGTTTACATGAAATTCAACGACAGATCTACATTGCAATAAAATAACGCTAGCACTTACTAATAAATGATGTCATTCCCGACTCGTGAAGTGAAGCCCTTGAATTTTAGGCATGTAGGGCGATCGAAGGTTGAATCGTGTGGATTCACCAGGCACCCATCTATTTATTGTGCACTGTATTTTTCTTTTTACATATAAAAAATTTGGAGTGCACAAAATCATTTCAGAATGCCGATGACAAGACAAACTATTTTTTCCTCATAAACGCTCTTCTTTTTCATTGAATTAAAAAAAAAAAAAAAAAAAACCGAAACAACGGTCAAAATTAAATAGAGAGTATAGAAGGAGGAAAAAAAATGTGTGGTTATCGTCCCTTAAAATCATGATTTAGGCGACGCTAAGCAAGTCAATTTTTCTTTAGAAGTGTAAAACGAGACACAAACCGAAGTTTTGTATTGAAGTTTTTTTTTTTCTGGTACGATAACCACAGCGAACACCGAACATGTTCTAAATTATAACTCGAAGGCCTTTCAATTAAGTACTTGCAAAAGCGAAAGCAGCTTCAATCTCCACACCTTCGGTCTACCTTCTTTAATTAGAAAGCAGAACTTTGTAAAAGAAAGGGAAACCAAAAATATATAGAGTCACCAGAAGTCATTGCACGAACATTTCCCGTCAGTAAAATGATGGTATCTGCTGGCATCTCGAACAATGATGTCCCTCTTCACAATGCTGCTTATGAATTTCAATACAGTATGACAATCTCCGCAGACACGAAGATTTTTTACTATCCGAATAGCAGTCCCCGGAACAGCCTTAAGCAGCCCGTATCAGATGAAGAAGATGAACAGGAATACTCACGGAGTGAACAAAGCCATTGGGATGGGCAAATACATATACAACTCTTCCAATGACGTGGCAGAGTTCTATAAACCGGTTTTATCCGTATGTGGTCTACATTTTTGTCTTGATGCGCATGGTATTTCCCGTAAATGCATTTTCTTCGGATCCCTTTCTTCTAGTGTATGGTATTTCACACAAATAAATTTTCTCTGGATCTCTTTCTTCTAATGCATCAAATTAAAGGATTCGTACTGTTGAAAATTGAAATAATAGTTGAAGTTATTATAATTGTTAAAATGGATCTCTGTTTGTAGCCGTTAAATCAAATTTCAATGGCACGAATCCCCTCATTTAGTGAATTAAAAGGAAGGGTTCCAGAGAGGATCCCCTTCCGTATTTCACTGCTCGGTTTCAATCAGGACGGTAACAACCACACCACGTGTCAGAAGAGAATTGGATACAAAATAATAACCACACGAGTATTCTGCTACTCTGTATTCATATCATATAAATTTTTTACCATAATAGTCACATTTGAAATAAATATTTGTCACGTATACAAAAAGTAAATCACTTTTGTCATCGATTGTCTTAGAACTCATTAATAAGTGTTTTTAAAACTACTTTTAATTAACGAGTATTTAAAAATAATTATGAGATCAATTAATGACAAGATATGTGCATGACCAAATTCTGTAGGATTAAGATTTTCTTTCTTCCTCTTTCTATCATCTTCTATCCCCTCCTCTTACATTCTCTTATTTTGTTTTTTTCTTGCTATAAAAAATTAATATAACATGTTGACGTGGCTTAATCGTAACCGTTCAATTAGGAGGAGAGAAAAAAAAAAAAAAAAAAAAAAGAGAAAGAATCCCACCCCAATTGCGTACTAGGAAAACTAAAAGCCAGACTTTGGTTACAAAGAGATTTGTTTTTATGTCAAGGAGTCAAAGAGTGTGTTGTCTTAGGGTATTGGGAATCTTGACCAAATGGATGGAGGGGATGGGTGGCATGAAGATAAGATAACAACGGAAGAAGTTAAGTAGGAATTTTAAGGCTTGTTTGGTATTCTACCGAAAATATTTTTCTCTTAAGAACAATTTTTTATGAAATTCAAAAATTTGTTTGGTATGACACAAAATTGTTTTTAAGTCTTCACAAGTTTTTTTAAAAGGAAAACATATCTCTCTGCTCAGCAGCTCCTTGTTGGAGCCGAAGAAGGCAGATCGAGATCAAAAGAGATGAGATAAGAGAGAAAGATACAAGGGAGAGAGATAGAAGCAATTGGAAGATATCGCAGGGTCTTTGTTGCCGAATCTCTTCGTAAGAAAGAGAGGGGAGAGAGAGAAAGAGATACGACACAGGAGAGTGGATGAAGAAAAAATGATCTGGAAAGAAAGAGGATAAGAGTGGGGCCTTTAGTTTTAAAAATTTTAAAAACAGACTTTTTACGTTTTCATGAAATAAGCTATATTTTCAAGTTAGTTTTACATTCTTTTTGTTTTTAAATGAGAGGTTTTAGATTTGATTCTCGTCAAAATTGAATTTGAATCATATTATTGTTAATCTATTGTGAGGCTTAACGTACCCGTCCTTATCTTGAAGATGAATGAACACAATTGATTGATTCCTGAATTCGAACAAAAAGGATCCATCCTTATCCTGAAGATAGGACCGAAGTGGGAATGGGATTGCATTAGAAAATTTGTTATAGGAATCTTATAAGCCTTCCGACTATTCTTATTTTATTAAGCACCAGATAACCACACATCTCAAAGTCCTAGCTGCGAAGATCACTATGTCCAAAATAAAAATAAAATAAAAATAAAAAAACAAAAGAAAAAGATGATGCCAAGGCACGTGTTCCATAAATTAAGATCGCTATGTCGAAAATATTAAAATGATGCAAAAGCACATGTTCCATAAAATAAGATCGCTATGTCGAAAATATTAAAATGATGCAAAAGCACATGTTCCATAAATTATAAGAAAAATTAATGAAAAAAATTTGAAAACTTTGAATTTTAACAATAAAAATAAAATAAATGGTAAAATGAATATTAATTTTTTAGTGTAAAAATATGATTTTTTGTTAAAATAAACAGTATCTGAAACTTTTCGTTAAAATTCCCTAAATTATAATTTGTTGCAATTAGATATTCCCTTTAACTCTGCCTAAATATTCTAAATTTCACTCATAATACTTTAGTTTACATGAAATTCAACGACATACCTACATTGCAATAAAATAACGCTAGCACTTACTAATAAATGATGTCATTCCCGACTCACGAAGTGAAGCCCTTGAATTTTAGGCATGTAGGGCGATCGAAGGTTGAATCGTGTGAATTCACCAGGCACCCATCTATTTATTGTGCACTGTATTTTTCTTTCTACATATAAAAAATTTGGAGTGCACAAAATCATTTCAGAATGCCGATAACAAGACAAACTATTTTTTACTCATAAACGCTCTTCTTTTTCATTGAATTAAAAAAAAAAAAAACCGAAACAACGATCAAAATTAAACAAAGTATAGAAGGAGGAAAAAAATGTGTGGTTATCGTCCCTTAAAATCATGATTTAGGCGACGCTAAGCAAGTCAATTTTTCTTTAGAAGTGTAAAACGAGACACAAAGCGAAGTTTTGTATTGAAGTTTTTTTTTCTGGTACGATAACCACAGCGAACACCGAACATGTTCTAAATTATAACTCGAAGGCTTTTCAATTAAGTACTTGCAAAAGCGAAAGCAGCTTCAATCTCCACACCTTCGGTCTACCTTCTTTAATTAGAAAGCAGAACTTTGTAAAAGAAAGGGAAACCAAAAATATATAGAGTTACCAGAAGTCATTGCACGAACAGTTCCCGTCAGTAAAATGATGGTATCTGCTGGCATCTCGAACAATGATGTCCCTCTTCACAATGCTGCTTATGAATTTCAATACAGTATGACAATCTCCGCAGACACGAAGATTTTTTACTATCCGAATAGCAGTCCCCGGAACAGCCTTAAGCAGCCCGTAGGCCACAGCCAACCTCTCGCTGTGCCAAAAGAGCTGCCTTTCCTTCTCTTGGTCCTCCATTTCATGTAAAACAAAGCTACTGTCAGGCACATAGCCTCTTCTCCTCATCTCTGCATCTAACTCCTTGAGCAAACCGAAAATCTCATCCTTCATAGGATGAGATGTCTCTCCGGCGTAAAAGACTTGGCTTTCCTTTCCAATGCCAATGGAACTATAACCAGGCTTCTTCTTAACTTCTCTAGCAACCATCAACTTTCTCACTTCTGCTACGTTTTCCCATATACGTGCACCGGCATAGACATTAGACAACAGTATGTAACTTGAAGGGTCTTCCGGTTTTAAGCTTAAAAGATGATCGGCAACCCTGATTCCCATTTGGGTTTCTCCATGATGTCTGCAAGCACTTAACAAAGCTGCCCAAGTGGGTTCATCCGGCTCAAACGGCATTGAATCAATAACATTTGAAGCTTCATCAAGGTGCCCCGAGCGACTAAGAAGATCCAAAAAGCATGTATAGTGCTGCAGGGAGGGGCTAATCCCGTAATCCTCAATCATAGATCTGAAAAGAGCACGTCCCTTGCTAACTAAACCAACATGGCTACAAGCATAAATCAATCCAACAAAGGTCACTTGATTTGGCCTCATTCCGGCTGCAATCATCTGATCATATAAAGTCAAAGCTTCCTCAGCTTGCCCATGCTGAGCTGCCCCAACAATTATAGAAGTCCAAGAAACTACATCTCTTCGATGCATTCGAGCAAAAATATCCTTAGCAGCTAAAATGTCACTACATTTTGCATACATATCAACTAGTGCATTACTAATAAACAAGCAAGACTCATAGCCAAGACCAATAACTAGACCATGAACCTGCTTTCCAAGCTCCAACACTGCCAAATTAGCAGAAGCTCCAACAATGCTGGAGAGAACTAATGGGTCCACTATATCAACCCCGTCTCTCCTCATTTCAATAAACAAATAAAACGCATCAACGCCGTGTCCGCTCTGTACCAACCCAGATATCAAAGCAGTCCAACAAAACAAATTCTTAAGAGGTACCCTCTCAAACATTTCGATAGCATCTGATTTCCTTCCACTCCTGGCATACCCTGAAATCAGAGCAGTCCAAGAAACCGGACTTCTGGACACAATTGAATCAAAAACTGCACGAGCATTATCGGGCAATCCACATTTCGCATACATATCAACCAGGGACGACTTAACCACATCGTCATCACGAAATGAGGACACCAAAAATCGGCCATGCACTTGCTTGCCTTGTCTAACAGCTTCCAAACCAGAGCAGGCCTTGACAATGCAAGCAAACACAAAATGGTCCGGCTGCAAACCATCAGACTCGAACATTGCAGGGAACATGGAGAGGGTTCGGTGGGGGACGTTGGCTAGGTTGTGGGCGGTGAAAATTGAAGCCCACGAGACAAGGTCTCGTTGAGGCATTTCGTCGAACATCCTGGCGCGCGTCTTCGACTAGACCGCATTTCCCGTAGGCATCCAAGAGGGTGTTGGGTAAGGGCACGCATAGATGGAGGCCCGTTTTGATGATTTGGGCGTGGAGGTTTTTGGCGGTAAAAGGCACGCGGCGTCGGGCGCAGAGTTGCAGTTGGTGTAGGAAGTGAGACGCTGGCATTCATCACCTACTTCTATACAAAGCCCCACCGTGTTCGTTAGAGTTCTATTTGCGAAGTTACAATGTCCAAGTCCATAGTTCCATCCGTGTATACTATTTACATCATCTCTAAGAGAAACTCTAAATTTTGTTAAATCTAACAAGCAAACAACGTCAAAAAATTATTTTAACAACGTATTTAATTTTTCATCTCTAATAAATTCTATATTTAATAAACTAAAATGTGAATGAGTAATGCTAAGAAGACTAAATTTTGTAAACCAAATGATGTTGGTGATGATTGGATTGTTAACTAAGTATTGATTAGCGTATTTATTTTCTATTGGAGAAACATCATTTGGTTTAGAAATTTGGTTCCTAGCATTCTAAAAATAATATTGTAGAGGTGCTAGGATTTTAAAATTGTTCTTGCAGAAATGTCAGAATTTTGAAACTGATATTGTAAAAGTGCATGAATTGTGAAACTGATATTGCAGAAATGTATAAAATTTTGAAACTAATCTTGTATAAATACTAAAATTTTGAAACTGTTCGTGCAGGAGTGCATAAAATTTAAAAATTGATCTTGCAAAGTGCATGAATTGTGAGCTTGCAAAAGTGCAGATATTAGTTATTGTGGATGCAAAATTAGTTTGAAATTTTTACAAACGGGGTCAGATATTTAATTTGCTTTGCTTGTTTTTTAGTTAGGTTTGTTGCGATTTGAGTTTTGTCTCTCTTGAAATGATTCAAAAGATAATGAATTTCTATAACACGTATCTTGTGTTTTTGTCTTAATAGGTAAAGCTCGATTTTTCAAAACCACCTTCTCTTCTCGCTTTCTTTTCTTATTGGTCATCGGTCCACCATTGAGTTTTATTAGTTTTTTTAACTATGGTCAATATCAATTCACTCTCTGAAGTTTCAGTGACATACTTTTCCCCTTGACTGATGTTTAATGTTTTACTTTACCTTGTACCGTTAACTTAATCTAATATTTTGTCAAATTTGAAGTCGTGGCATGCGTATATTCGTCATTTTACAATTGGATCCATATTCATCTATGAGGATGTCTCGTGCAGAAAAGCTGGTAGGATACTTTATTTGGACGAAATGACAAAAATTCATATTTAATTTGCTAAAATAGCAACCAAACTAAATAACGCGAATCCGGATCCTCGCCAAATTCTCTTTGGGAGGATCTTGATGATCCGTGAATCATATCTATTCATCGTATATCATGAGGTCAAAAATCATTTTAATTATTTTTATTTAAAATTAAATACAAACAATACCTGATAAAAACTGACCGCAAGATGTACGATGAACGAATACGTTTTACGGATCCCTAGGATCCTCACCAAAAGAAACCGGAGACGATCATGTTGGAAATAACACAACAATCAAACCTTATCTTACTAATTATATTATTGGATTTGAACTATCATCTATATTGTATTGATTTTTTTTTACTGAATATCCTATTAATTTTTAAAACTCCCATCAAAATCCGCTCCAGTAACGAGTCTATCTCTAATCAGTCCGATGCTTTACTTGCCCTGCATCAAAGAAAAACGAAATCTTGTGCCCCCATTTTGCGTGTGGTCTATCTATGACCTCTATCATTGTCGTGAGTCAAAGGTGTGTCATGGGGAACCTTGTGGGACCACCCTTCATTATTTGAAAGAATTTCTATATCTTATAAAAACAACACAATTTTGATGAAGAGTTTTTTTACTATGATATATGTGATCCATGCGCATGGAAAAATCGATACAAGTTTGTTGGTTTACTTGTAAAGGTTGTCTATTTGTTCTTTGTATTGAGCCACGACTCGGTCCCGTCGAATTTTCATGGTTGGAGTCATTAGGCCGCTATCAATCTGCAACAGGAAAGTATAATTTGTCAGCCATTCACATCTGTACAGCCAAAGGCAGTGCTGATGGAACTACTGGGATGGATGGATGGATGTTTTACCGTAAAGGGTTCGTCCGCGATTATGATTGGTCCGATTTGAAATGAACACCCTGAAGTCCTGCAAAAATGGAGGACAGATCATGAGAGACAGTCGCATTGTAGCAAACAGATACCATTCTTGAGACAACTGAATCTTAAAGGCCTCGTACGAAGTTTAAATTTATCGATCATTGAAACCCGATAATTCCCAAGAACATCTACAACAATTTGTTGACCTATAAAGAATTTTTCACCATTTTCTCAATTCTTCATAAACCAAGCTTGTCAATCTGTCGTTGCTTAGGCCGGAGGCATCAGCAGCATCTACAGCAACCAACTTTTTGGCTGCGAGTAAAGCCTCTTCTTTGTTTGGAACAACAATTGCACCAAGGCGTCGCTGATCCTACATATATGAATGCAAACACATGCAGAATCGGTACATCAGTTGTAAAATGGCGGAACATAGACAGCTATAAAGGAAATGAACTGAGGCATAACCTGGCCGATGACAACAATTTGTTGAATTAGACTACTTCTCAAGGCAGCTTCCTCAATCTCTACTGGTTCAACGTTTTCCCCTGTAAAAAATGCCGACTTGCACAGCGTTAGGGAAATGAAATTACATTCAGACTCATAGGAGTAGATTTCAACAGAAAATAAATACACATGCGTATAAACTCATATGATCGAGATGTTTGGCAAGATACGATTAAATACATGTCCCTCAACCCGGTAGTTTGGACTCACTAGTTTTGTGACAAAAAATGTTTCTTTAGCGCTGTGTTTAAGAAATTACACATAGTCCATGGAACTGAAACTAGGAAGACATTTCAAGTTGTTAGCTAGCGGATCCATGACAACGTTGCAGAAGAAAATTAAGCTTTCTGTATACCTGTTAAAAGAACGATAGTGTCCTTGGCACGTCCTTCAAGAACAACCACCCCTCCACAACAACGACTTCGCCCTATTGAATGGTGAGGAGCAATCCAACCAATGTCTCCAGTGTCTAGCCACCCATCGTCATCCAATGCTTTCTTTGTAGTGCCTGGATTCTAGTCCAAACATGAACAGAAAAAGTCACAATAATATAATTAGGTAATGGAAATGCTGAATTCCGGTAGTAATATTAAAATCGAATTCAAAATTGTATAACGTAAACATAAAATAGAAGCAAAATACGAGGATGATAACTAAGAGACCCTTCGATACTGAAATTTTGTGGCAGATACACAAAATGAGTGCAAATGGTTTTGGCAGATCTTTCAATAATTTAAAAATTAGAAAGAACATTTGATGAACACAATATATGGTACCTTGTAGTATCCTTTCATCACTTGAGGTCCCCTAACTTTCAAAATTCCGCTCAAGCCAGGAGAAAGAACTTCACCGGTTTCAGAATCTACGACTTTGAACTCAGTATGTCGAATTGGTAGCCCAACAGAACCAATAACCTTCAGAAAAGTAGGAACAAGAAATGTCTGTCAGAGTAGATAAAGTCGATACATGGTCAATGAGCAATAACTTTGCACTAGCTGTAGAATCTTTCTAGTCGTAATTTAAACATAACAGCATCAGCAGTAGTTTACTTATTTAGTTTGCTATTGTTCTTGAGGTAAATACCAACCGATGTATGTCAAGCACAACTCAACAATACAAACTAACAAACAATTTAATTGTACTTCTTACATTAAAATTTAGTCGTCGAGAAGCAACAACAGGAGAACTCTCCGTTAAACCATATCCATTCAGCAGTTTCATGTCAATTGCCTGCAAGCATACTACAGTACAATGAGAATGATTATCCAAAGATTATACTTGGCGAGGAGATTACGGGTGAGAATCCAACCTCAAAAAATTTATCAACATGTGAAGGCAGACAACCTCCTCCACTGATGCCGGCCTGCAGGAAGCCAGAGAATTTCCCAATTAGTCCCGCTCTTTCTAATCAACATAATAAAAAAAGTCGTCACAGAACAAAGAAGACACAAATAGTAACGTCAAAATAAGATGACCTTTGATATTCCAATAGCGGATTGAATTTTACTGTAGACTAGTTTCTTTCCCAGCAAGTGCAAAGGCCATAAAAACGCAGCAATTATTCTCGCCCATAACCAATCTGCTACTGAAACAAGATATGAACTTTGCTTCGGGTTCCTCGTCAGATATTTTCCCTATAAACGAGAATGAATTCGTAAATGCATATTGATAACGCTACAAGCTTAGGTGGTCTAGTAGGTGTTACAACAAAACACAACAGAAACAACAAAATCCATTGCCACATTCATATAATCACTGTATGCAGTGTATTCCAGCTTGGAGATGAACATAGAAAATAACAGAACTATTCAGAGAATAAATTCACAGTAAATGAACCTCATAGATCCTCTTAAACTCCATGTACGCCATACTGATCCTTATGAATGTAAGCGCAATAAGCTTACGAACAGTAGAGGCGGATGAAATTTGTTTCTGAATACCGCTGCAGAGAGAAATAAGTACGTTACCAAAAAAAATCAACTAGTCTACAATACCTAAAAAGAGGTCTAGATATACAAATAGACAACATGAAGAAAAGACATACCTGTAAAGTGACTCATACACTAAGGGAACTGAAATTATATAGGTTGGCTGATATTTTCGCAAATCATCCTATCAAATAAATGAAAATTGTCAAATAATACTGATCAATTTGAACATATAAAATCAAACAAGATAGTAAATAAACAGATGTGCTGCAAATAGTTTCTCCATTTCCCGCTAACAATTCTTTCAATTCTTCTTCAAAATCACAGGAGAATAGTATAAAGTTAATTTTGAAAGACAAAAAAATTGTTTCCCATTGAGATAATAATACCTTCATTTTCCGCACACTGGTGTAAAATTGCTCAACTCCACACGTAAAAGCGAAATACTCACAAGCTCGTTCATAGCAATGCCATGGTGGAAGCATGCTAAGAAATTTGTCGCCACCCACACAAGGTACAGCATCCCATAGGTTCTTTATCTGAGACACAAAAAGCAAAAAACAGTTGGTTAAACTGTAACGTGAGTAAGCAGAGCAGAAAACAAAAGATAGATACTAGAACAGCTTCTTCAAAAAACCGTTTTCATAACACTCATTGAGTTATGAAAGGAACATACGCGAAAAACAATACAAGCAAAACCAACCTGATGCAACA